AACCCCCGACCTATGGATTTGTTCTCCCGGTGCATGAAATCTCCGGCTCTCCTACGGAATGATCGTGTCATCTGGCACATCTTAATAGGGGACAGGCGAGGAGTTTCTCTCCGGCTTTCTAATGGAATGGAGAAATTGCATGTTCTCCTTCTCCCAGCACTATTAACGTGTAATGAATTCGGCCCCGAGTTCACGGATGGCTGATCGAAATGAACCTCAGATCCCAGCTTTAATACAACTCTCCAGATTTCCTACCAAATCTTCACATTAATCATCTCCAATAGTGAGATTGCAATGAGGTCTTTATAAAGGTTGTCTCTAAGAAAGGGGGAAAAAAATGCCATCCTTCCCTCTCTGTGTACTGCTCGCTTCTCTCCTGCTCCATCCCTAGCCCATCCGCAGAGCTCGAATTAAACGCCTAATATATTTTCAAATACCTTTCCAGTATGTCTATATTATAGCTCGTCTCACGCTTGGCACTTAGTTCCAAAGAATTGAGGAGCCTCTGTTGCAAAACCTGGCCTAACACTTCTACAGGTATTTCAATATCCCCTTAAATCCCGAGGAAAAGTCACAGGATATGTAAATATGCTTCTATGTACAAAGACATCTGACTTTGTTTATACAGTATCTAGCCCTAGCAATGAATCTGTAGGGAACACGTGGCCAAAATATTAACTTACCACTTGATTTGTTTAAAATTCCCTAAAACACAAGGAAATATAACAATGAATTCTTCAATTTTAGACTAGTCTGGCCTTTGTCCATGGCTCTTCAAGCCTGGAGCCCAACACCTCTTAGGCAATCCTCTGTTTCTAAACTAGGCCAAATGTAATATTATAAACACATGTATATCAAGTCCTTCAGCCTTTGGGAAAATATTGTCTATTCTTTTCTGTATGGCTACAGAACTGTTGTAATTATTCTAGAGCACAATTGAGGGTTATTAATTAAGGTGAGGCATTGATAAGCTGGTACCCACATGGCACCCAGAATTTGTGTTTCTTTTTCCAAAAAGAAATAAAATATGATTTGTCACTAGAAGTAACTTCTCACTTTTTTTCTCTTTTATAAATTACCCTTAAAAAAAAAGCAGGTGACACAAAATGTGTCCAAAAGTTGCTATTCTGTGTAGAGGTATTTAAACCTCTCCAAAAGCCCTGATAGGGTTCCCAAGATTGGCTCTTGCTGAAGAATTCTGATCAACACTTTTGACCACAATTACAAGGAACATACATACCCCTGCCATTGACACTCTGCTCAGGGTTGTATTTTTTTTTAGGTCTCAAGACTATTATTTTGCTGTAACTTCTAAAAAAAGAAATACATTAATGACCAAAATGTGATGTTATGATCTCACATAGGCATCAAACGACTTTTAGCCACAGAAAAGTCAAAGTATGTCTAGCTGTATTCATCTGCAGTGGCATCTTGCTCATTCCCCACAATAAGAGCTGTCTCCAGCTCTTCACATAATACTTAGGCTGGAGCTCTTCGCACTGATGTTTAATGCCTGTGCTATCAGCCCTGATGGATGTGCAGAGCAGCATCTCTAGTAAAGCATGACACATAAAATGATATTTTGTGTCTGCAATTCTAGCAATCACCCCAACATAATGGAGCAAAGTTCTCTATTATTCATGGAATGTTTACATCCTTAATAGCGCCTAGATTTCTTTAATGGCTGACAATAATTCTTTCTTTCTTGTTCTCAGAATGTGTCATTAAATACAGCAACGGCAACACAAATGCACAATTGTACTAGATCTTGTGTATTAGCCAGATGCTGGAGGGGAGCTCATAGACTCCAATACAGACGTCACTGATTAGATTGAGAGTAGAGAGTAATGAGAGCAGGGAAGAAATGAGATGGTGTCTGAAATAATTCCATTGTTCTTCGTGTTTACGTTGTAGGGATTGTGTCTGCCTCAAATATAAGAAGTAAATAGTTTTCTATTATTGTGAATTAGAATTAGAAACGGAAGGGTTCACCCGATATAGTCAAATATTACAGGTGTCACCTGCAGATAACTCGGTACATTATACAATTCTATAAGAAACTGTCAAAACAACAAATGCATTACACCCTTTTTACCCTTAAATGTCCCTACATTGAAATAGAGAAAAATGCAGCTATAATGACAGAATCAACAAAAATAAGATGCACTATATATCAGCCTTGCCCTAGCTCCCCGAATTTGTATTCTTCTCTAATCTATCCAAGAAGAGTAAGCCAGCTGTGTTCTTGGTTTTTGTTTTCCAAGTCAAGGCAAATCCGAAAAAAAATATTATTTAGATAAATCAAAATAATAATAATAAAAATAAATAAATTAATACATAAACGAATAACGAATGGCCCTGGCAAATGTTTTTCATTCCAATTCAGGTCTTCTGCATGTCTAAACAGAATCAAGCTAGATTTATCCTTGTTACATTCCTGTCACAGATTGTATACTGTCTTGTAATAATAAATAGTATTTGTAAAACTGGTAAAGTCTAGGGCGATGCTTTGCGATTTATTATTGTGAGCGAAAAATACAGGGGGGACGTGTTAGATTCCACTGAGGGGGCAGAGACAGTATAGTAAGCCAAAGAGACCTGTCACTGGTTTATTTTCTTGCTTAGTGTGAGGTATATTTATAACATTATTTATATTATGTGTATATTACTCTCTCTGTACTCCTTATCGAATGCCCATCAAACTGGTAATTCTGTGTGGATTCTGAGTCCACGAATAACCACAGACACTACAAGTCCCAGCACACCTTTTTAAATAACTGGCTCCGTGAAAGGCAACTGCAGAAATATGCAGAGACAATGAAACGGATTTCCTAAAGGAGTAGAGAATCATCAGATTATACATAATGAGAATATTCACTTTAATTATCCAGTCATGTGAAATGCAAATTCCTGTTTACTTATTTCATCTGCAGATGATTGGAAAGTGATGAGCAGAAATTTTCTTTTCACATGACTGCATGTAAAGTCAATATTCACTCTGTTTATTTTGTGATGATTTTTAACTCCTTCAGTAAATCAGCCCAATAATGGGTCAATGTGCCCTTGGGCTGTAATAATATATGTTAGCTATAATTTCATCTATGATCATTCTGTGACAAGCAGCACAAAGCATCCGACCAGCGAGACAAGCAAAGAATGGGGACTGGGGGATAATTTTTAAGGTGATATTATACTAGATCAGGTCCTCCTTGTTCTGTTTGTTTCTATTACCATTTCTTTTAAAAAGAACATTTGTAGATTTGCTTCCTGTGCTTTTCAGAGGTTAGAATGTTGGAGGGGGGGGGACCGTGCTCTTAAGATTGGAAGAGATGATTGTCCTTATATCAAATGACTGTGCCCAGCACAGGTCAAATGTATTCATGAGATCACAATGAGAGAGAATTCAGTTCGTGTGCCCCTGTGCCCCCCTACATATATCAATGAGAGGGGTGCCCATCAGCCGGCCATAGACGCCCTCAGGAGGAGCCAGGACGTTGCAGGGTGAACAGAAGGGAAATGAGAACTGGAGGAAGGCAATAGACAAAAATCAGCTCCACACCTCTCTCTGCATTACTATGCTTTCAAATGAATACAGTAAAAATCTACTAACACTATGACTACCAATCATCATTATGTAAACTGATTATGATTGATTATATTTGATGAACGCGAATTATCCGATAACATAACAGAATTTTATTATTTCTCACTCCCAAATAAAGAGCCCATCTTTAGTGTAATCAAATGCAGTCACACAACACAGGCTGGTTGTTACTGTATTGTATTGTTATAAACAGAAACAATATTGTGTATTAAAAGTAGGTGTGGTGTCACATTTATCGTGCGGTATGGAGCCTAGGCACAGGAACCAGGAGCTGTCCAGTGCTGAAATCCTTTCACAATTCAGCCCAATAGCAGACAATTCTTTAGTTTAAAATTGCTGAAGTCTAACTAGTTAAATAGGAAAACATCTTTGTAAATATTATATATATACCATAATGCAATATGTGGTCATACCTCTCTTTAGTTTCGCCAGGCTGGTACCGATACGATTATATGATATTCCCATGTTTTGGGGGAAAAATACCAAATTTATTTTGATTTTATTTCTTAAATGGAATTATTTATTTACTGTAATTTTACCATGTTATATGTGTGGCATTGGAGCACTACCTTTTTATGTTATTTCTGTCATTTTCCCATTCCCGCATATATATATGTGTGTATGTATGTATATATATATTTCATTTTCTCTCCTGATATTTGGGATGCATGGGGGTTTACCACATGTTTTTATTTGTTCAGCAGGCATCAATAATGTATTGCTTTCCTTCGGCACTCTGATCTAGCCCGAAAATAACCAAGTCTGGTCTATGTTGTGTTTTTCTAGGTCTGGTTCCAGAACAGACGTGCTAAGTGGAAGAAGCGCAAGAAGACCACCAATGTATTCCGCTCCCCCGGGACTCTGCTGCCCACCCCAGGATTGCCACAGTTCCAGTCAGCGGCAGCCGCCGCGGCAGCAGCAATGGGCGACAGTCTATGCTCCTTTCACGCCAACGATACCCGCTGGGCCACGGCCGGAATGGGAGTCTCCCAGCTTCCCTTACCTCCCTCCCTTGGAAGGCAACAGGCGATGGCTCAGTCTCTGTCCCAGTGTAGCCTGGCCGGTGGCCCTCCTCCCGGCTCCATGGGTTTGTCCAACATGGGCTCCAATGGCTCGGGGCTGCAGTCACACCTCTACCAATCCTTCCCCGGCATGGTGCCCACCTCATTGCAGGGTCCCAGCAACGTGACGGGTTCCCCGCAGCTCTGCAGCTCTCCGGACAGCAGTGATGTGTGGAGGGGAACCAGCATCGCCTCCCTACGCCGCAAAGCACTTGAGCACACAGTCTCCATGAGCTTTACTTAATACCCTATTTGCCCCCCTCTGCCCCATTATCTGCCCACCACTGTCTCTCCTCCCAGTCTATCCTGGACACTCCAGCAGAGGCAATGCAATGCCGGTGATCGCAGCATTTCACTGACAGACAGGTGAATGCTTTTCACAGAACCAGGGATTTCTTGAGGCTCACATCGACAGCAATCATTAGCAGAGCTGAGCCTCAGAGTTCCCTGCAGGCCCCTTTCAGAACAATCATAGAACATTGAACAGTCATAACGGTTTTCTGCCTTGGTTAAATGTCATTCTCATAGTTACCAATAAAAAGAAGTAACCCTTTGTATCCCTTTATCTGTCCCTGTGCCAGATTCCCCTCTATCATTGGGATTTAATAAACATGAGCAACCCACATTTAGTTCTTGGACGTTTGGGGTTTATAAAAGCCACAAGGCAAACACAGCAATTCCTTGTTTTTGTGGCTGTTTATGAAAATGATATACAATGAAAATGATAGTTTACAAATTAGCATCTGAGGCTACATGCTCACAGCCATAAAAACAAAACACAATGCACAGCGTTTTTGTTTATGGATCGGAATGCAGATGTATTGTTGTCAATGGGGACACGCATACAGGTGCGCAAAATGTGCTGCGTTCAGATCCGTAACAATAACTGAAAAAATCTGCTTGTGAGTACATCAATTTCCGGAATGTATGCGTGTGAACACATGCATGCATACATGATGCTCAAACAAGAAATTTACATTGATCGAGAATTTTATGCATACGTGTTTAGGCGTCTATATGACAGTATTACTGCCGTTTGCATGTAGCCTAAATCACAGTTTGTAAACTCACTACATGGTATTTGGATAAAATATGCACATTTTACAAGTATTTTTATTTCTAAAGAACAACCCCAGACAAAACTTTTTTTGTGTTTTATATAGCAGACAAACAGACAAAATTGTTTATTTATTTATTATTAATTTTTATTGCCCTCTGTGTGCCTGTTGGGGAGATTTCCCCTCACTTCCTCTCCCAGGAAGTGAAATCTATCCAACAGGGACACAACAAGAGACACATTATCTATGAGAATGCTGGAACCTCTGTCAGCTTTTTATTTGCTGTTTGTGTACCCGTTGGGAACTTCCCTTTACTTCCTGGCCCCGTAAAGCTTTTGTCACCAAAACAGGAAATGAAGAGAACTCTCTACAAGAACATCCCAGACAGCACTGAAAACTGATAGATGATTCAACCCTTTCCTACTCTGTACTAAACTGAAATATAATGTTTTTGATTGGAGTTGCTGAATTGAGAATGGGACAATGTCCTGAACTGATTGATAGGGTTTTTTCTCTTTTGACTTTGCATTATTATGCAGAAACATGGTTTGTGGTAGTTTATTATATCCCGTGATAAAGAGTGAGCATGTGTTTACACAGGGGAGACTGTATGTACGGACACGAAGTCAGACTACATTATATTTGATCATGATGTCTATGATATACTCTGGCAAGAAGTAAAAAGCTATTAAGTAAAATGGCGCAAAGAGTAATGGTGTACTTTAATCCATAGCAACCAATCAGCATTCAACTCTCTTTAACTAAAGTGAACTGTGAAATGAGAGATGATTGTTGATTGGTTGCTGCAGGTAAGTCTGTCTGTTTACAGGCAGAAATACCAGTAAGAATTATTAGCGACCTTCCTGACCTCAGCATAAGGTATCCCTGTGACCTGTCATAATATTTCACTCCAACTTGGGTGACATGTGGATGTGGCATAGGTGGTGAAGGGATTATGTATTGATGAGTAGATGCAGAGATTGTCTAGAGTTTTGGAATATCTCTGCAAATCTATTGGCGATATCAGGGCATATAATACCAGCCTTCGTGTACACCATTGTACTTTGTACTGTCATATTTTTATTCCAATGCCTTTCTCTAGTTTAAATGTATACAGGCATCTAGTATTGTATTAACTGTCAAATGTTACCCAATGTTTATCCGGCCATCCTATTTTTATCTGTTCCATCATCATCATTATTATCATCATCGTCATCACTTTGGGCACACAAAATTAAATTTTGAAGCACAATCTTGCTTTCCAAAATATTACTGTTTGTGTTGTAAACATATCGCTGAAATATCCTTCTGTCCAAAAAGAAACCAGGCCCGTTTTGATAAGCATTTTTATTTGACACAGCTCTAATATTTTAATATTCAGTCTTATTTCCTTTTTTTTTCTAAAGGCAAGCAGCACTTTTCTGATGATTATTTGGCAGACTGCCGTTTTCAGTCCTATAAAAGCATTGCTGATACCACTTTTCCCTGCGGGTTCAGCTGGGCACGTGGTGCCCACTTGGCACATGTAAATTTTCAACCCTGGACTTTGTACAGACAGCCAATCAGCTTTTCTGCATGTGCTGGTTCAGAGATCAGAGGCTATTTCTAAGAATGAAAAAAAAAAAAGTTGTGAGATAGGATGTTTTGTGTAGATAAAGCATTCTTGTTGCATACTGGTCAGTTTGTGATATGGTTTAACTTATTGTCTGTGCTTATTTATTGCTTTTTGAGTTTCCTTTTTCTTAAATGTTTAAGCTAATATGAAACTTATGATTTGAAAATTTTCTTGACAAGTTTATATCAATTTAATGTAAATGGATAAATAAAAGCATTTTCAGTATGTGAGCTGGAGAATGAGTCATTATATCGGTATACAGAGTGCCCAAATGTGCTTCCTCCAACAAACTTTTATTGATAATTACACTTTTATTGATAAAAGACAGTTGCTGTTTTAGAAGGGGGTTGGATTAATTTAAAAAGTGTCTGAAAAAGGATCTGTCTGTTGTGCGTCAAAAGCAGCCATATAGATTCTTGCTGCATTGGAGAACAAAGGGACTAAGAAGGTACTTATTTTTTATTCCCATCTTTACCTTTTGTTTATTGTAGCTGTGCTACATGGTTTAAGCCCAATCTATCATATCCATAGCTTGCTTTAAAGAACCAATCAGGGTAAAGGTACACTCTAGTCCCACTTGAAAACTGTCCATTTAGCCAAATTCTGAGTATATGGTCACTGCTGGCTGTATGGAGCTTATTTTATACTGGCGCTCGTCTTTTGCATTGAGCTTCCGCATTAGCTAAGTTCCAATACTTACCAACATCCACATCTTTGGAATAGTCCTAAATCTGTGCATACAAAAATGAAGAGATTTGTGTTCCCAGGTTCTAAACACTGCCTTCCCTCTGAGCCCATAGCGTTGTCCATATGCACTGGAGCATGAGGGGGAAGTTGTATATCACAAACCTGCACATAGCACTGTGGAAAATCTGACGAACGTGGATGAAAAAAATGATATAAAGCTCAGATTAAAGGTAAATGGAGTGGGCTTTCTGACTGTAAATGCTTCCAGGTGGGCACCAACGAACTTCTCTATATTTGACTTCTCACATGTGAGCATAGGAAGCACAGGTTTACTCTTCCGGCTCAAATTACGAAAAAAGTCCATGATATTCACTCCATAATTATGAGTTTTTTCAATAACCTGTGTTCAAGAGACAAGGAAACGGAATTTTGTTTATACTGATTTGCAAGATTTTGCTTAACCCTTCCAAGCGCACATGGGTTTGTCTCATCTATAGTGGAAGGTAAGCAATATATGAATGCAGGAAATTGAATCGTATGATCATTCAAAGATTGGACAAATCTGCATGCCAAGATTCAGTTAAATGGAAAAAATAATTCACTGAATTCAACAATCTACAACCAAACCAACATATTGATAATCAGTCGGTGACAAGTATTCCAAAAATATTCAATTTGATTATAATAAAATATACTGCAAAAAAAGATGTGGTTAGTACAAGAGCAAAAAGCAGCAATGGATTAAAGAGTTTGTACACCAATGCCAGAAGTTTGCCAAGCAAAATAAAACAGTAGGAAGCTTTGGTGCATGAAGAGCGCTATGATTAAATTGGTATTGCTGGAACTTGGCTTTGCTCTTCACATACTGGGCTGTTAATATTCCTGACTATGCTCTCTTCTGGAGAGACCGGGTAAAACGAAAAGATGGTGTTTGTACCTATGTAAGGAGTGATCTAAAAATGAGTGTGAAAGAGGACCTTCCTGATGGAGAATGTGATGGTGCTGAGGCATTTTGGGTGGACTTACATATTGGTGTGTATACTGGGAAGGTAATTATTGGAGTTTGTTACAGTCCCCCCCCCCCCCCCCCCCTGTCGCGGTAGATGAGGAAGTGGGTGTCT